ACGCCAAGGCCTGGAGCCTCCTCGGCAACGTGCGCGCGCTCCAGGACCGCGCGGCCGACGCGGACGGCTGCCTCGCGCGCGCGACGGCCCTCGCCGCGTCGCCGCGGGAGCGCGCCAACGCCGCGAACAGCCACGGCGTCGTCCTCGAGCTCCTCGGGCGCCGGCGCGCCGCGCTCGACGCCTACGACGCCGCGCTCGCGGCCGCGCCGGGGCACGCCAAGGCCGCGGCGAACCGCGCGACGCTGCTAAGCGAGGCGTCGTCGTGACTCGGAATCGGGCCGGCGCGTTACGACGGAGTGTTACCGCGCGCGGCTGCGGGCGGGTAGCGGCGCGCCGTTCAAGGCGACTGCGCGCTGGGGAGTCTTGATGTTGGGGGGAAGGAGTCCGAGCGATCGAGCTTGGGCCGCGGCGGCGCCTCAGTCGAGGACCTTGAGCTGCATGAGGGCGACCTGGCCGTACTTCTCGCTGGAGTACTTCTTCTTGACGGCCTGCAGGCTGCCCTTGGTCGAGTGGATGACCGAGCTCATCTCCTCGAGGCACGCGCGGAGCGAGCTCTCCGTGTACTGCGCGTAGTGGAGCAGCGTCGGGCTCCACGCGTTCCGGCCCAGGTTCTTGCGCGCGATGTAGACGGCGCACGCCGCGACCATGGACGGCAGGTATTTGAGCATGGCGTACTCCTGGAGCATGCGCTCGGCGACGTACGACGCGAGCCAGACCATGCGGCGGTCCGCGTGGCCCGCCTTGAGGTAGCGCATCATGAAGCAGTGGATCGACGCGATGGTCATCTTGTACTTGAGCGCCTTGACCATCTTCTCCTCCATGGACAGGATCTGCTCCTGCGTGTAGGCCTTGTCCGTGATGTAGACGAGGTCCTTGAGCTCCGGCGGGTAGATCTCCTCGTACTTGGACGCGAGCAGCAGCGCGGAGACGCCGACGAGCTGCAGGTTCGACCGCTCGACGGGCGACCCGAGGAGGTAGCGGTCGATGAGGTTCACCGTCAGGTAGAGCGTCTCGGGCACCTGTGTGGAAATCAACCAGTGAGCTGGGACGTCGGGGCCAAACTTCAGAAATCTCTAGCTCGGTCAAATCGAAGTCGATTCGGCTGATTTTTGGACGAATCGATTGCTCTCGTTGAGTTCTCGAAGCACAGCGAAAGAGTCTGGTCCAAATCGTTCGATTACGCGCACATTGAAGTCGGATTGAAGGTTTGATTTCCACACAGTCCGGCACGAGCTTGAACTTGAGGTGGACCTCGACGAGCCAGTCGATGAGGATCGCGCGCATCTTCTCGTTGATGTGCGCCTGTCGGCTCATGTACGTCGGGTTGACGCTCGTCTCCAGCTCCTTCTCGCGGAAGTGCGCGTACCTGCCAAGAATATGTCGGTGACGAAATTCGTCGAGGCCGTAGGACGCTGGCGCGCGCATGTCATTCACGTACTCGGTCACGGCCTGGGGGTTGCTCGCGTCCCGCGCGTCGACGTCGTCCGCCTTGCGCTCCGACTTGAGCGTCTTCTTCGTGCCCAAGGCCGCCGTCGAGTCCGCGCCGCTCAGGGCGGCGTTCGTGATGTCTGCGTAGGGGTGGGGGCGGATCGAGTGGGGCCGCGGCGGGTGGGCGGAGTGGATTGAGTGGGGCGGTGGGTGGGAGGAGTGGATCGAGTGGGGCGGCGGTGGGCGGGCGGAGAGGGAGTGGGACGGGGCGGCGGCAGCGAGCCGAGGCGACGGTTTCAGTCGATCGCGCGTGCGAGGTTGTACGACGGAACCCCGCGAGGCCCCAACTCGCTCCCGCGTAGCCGCTGCCACGAGAGTGCACGTGAAGCACGAAGCCCCGCGACCGCGACGGCAGTCGGTCAGTTTCGCGAGCGCGCGTCGATCGCGTGCGTCCCGAAGACGTTTCCGCGCGCGCGCCGCTGACGTTCTCGCGCGCGGCGCGCGGGCGGGGGGGGGTGGGATGGAGGGAGACATGCCTTGGAACGCGCGGCGGCTCATCTTGATGCTGTACAACGAGCGCGAGGCGACTCACGCAACGAACTATGAGGCGCCGAGGCGAGTGGGTGCCAGATCTCAACGTCGTCAACTCGACAAAGTTTCACTTCATGTTGCACAAGAGGAGCCGCGCGCGCGCTTCTCCTAGGGGCGACGACTCCTGCGGGCGCGCCGCCCGGGCGCGCCCGCAGGGGATTTTTCGCGCGCGCGAGGCTCCCCCGAGTCCATTTTGCAGTACTAGTAGTAGGCTGGATGAGGGGCTCGGAGCGCGAGCTCGTGGCGGCCTTCGCGGGCCACGGCGACGTCGACGACGCCGCCGCCGTTCTCACGTTCTCGGATCC